GTATGTATTGGTGTGTGCGTGTGCGAATATTTATATAGAGAGAGAGATAGAGAGAAAGGGAGAGTGTGTGTGAGAGTGAGGATAAGTACAAATAAAATTTGTCACTTAGGTGATTGATGTTCTATTCTCAACAGCTCGATTCCAGAGTACCATAAATTAGGTGAATAATTCAACTAGAAAAATTGAAAATAAATCCAATGTATTTAAATACAAATTAAAGACATGTCATAATAGATCATTCCCTCTTAAATAAATCAACAATGTTTTGTGGCAATTTTTAACATCAATTTGAGATTTTTCTTATTATAAAGTTCAATATTTTTCACACATTCAACATCATGGATAAAAAGATAGTAAATTTTATATAGTGTTTTGTTTTTACTTGGCATGACAAAACAAATTCACGGTTTTGGACGAGAAAATTGATCCCAGAATGATGTCTTTTATTAGTCAATAGTGAATTGTTTAATTTGTAACGGATAAAAATGTAGGTAGTAAAAAAATCAAATGTTGATAAGAAAGCAAGGGTCACAAAACACTGCCCGGAGGTTCCAATTAGGTATTCCCACAGGTAGTGGATTTCGGAGATTAGTACACACCATCCCTACTCGCATAGATACAAAATAAATAGAATATGTTTATATCCCTTCGACACCCAATAATGATTAACATTCTATTCACACAGACGAATTTCTCGAAACTTTCATATCTACTCAGTTTCGTATCCAAAGTGTAAACAAAGCAATTTTTAAAGAATTAATGGATTTATTCTTAATTCGAAATTTTCAAACTTTGTTATGTGGATGCTTCATATTTGAAATAAATAAATGATCTATTGGCCTTGCAAACACGAGAAATCTTAGTACACAAATGATGTCCCCCCCCCCCGATTTAAAACTAAGTGGATATAAAGCTTTTGAGAAAATAGTCTGGGAAAAAAGGATGTGCTTTAATAAATAAGGGAAAATAGGACCTTACTTCCTGTGACGTTCTTCGTTCCGAGTTTAAAAGCACATTAGATTCACCTACAAGGGGGACGCAGGTTCGATCCCTACAAAGAAATGAATTTTTTTTTTAGTTTGATTTCTCTGGATTTTTTTACCCCAAGTAAGGCAGTAAAGCTACTAAGACACAAGCGGTTACTGGGCCTGGAAGAATTAAGAACAGAAACATTAATAATGAACAGAGAGAAAAAAAGATTAATCAGGAGGACAGTAGTTAGCGATTGACATTACATTAAATTTTTTCATGGCACAGTGAATAAAGTCGTTAGTTAGATCCAGTGATAGGAACCAAACAGTGTGAGTTCAATACCCGGTTAAGGCAGCGGAGTACTTTCAGATGGAAATTAACAAGAGATAACTGATAACTGACATCCATTAAACATGACACGTGGAACTAGAACAGTCTACCCCAGTGAGCGAAATGAAGGGTTCGGTTCAAAATTCCACCCACCCGAAGAAGGCCGGAGCGTACAAGGGCCGAAACGTTGTAATAATTATGGCGACAAGGATGAGGACAATAGTCCGAATAATGTAAATAATGTACATAATACCTCATCTCAGAAATATAGACAGATACTAAAGTTAGTTGGAAAGCATGGAGCCGGAAGGGAGTCCCACAAGCAAAGCAGTAAAGCCACTAAGACACAAGAGGTTACTGGATGTGGAGGAATTAGGAACAGAAACATTAATAATGAACAGGAAGAGGCAAGATTAATCAGGAGGACAGTAGGTAGCGATTGACATTGCATTTAATTTTTTTTTCAGATTAAAGTTGGTTGGAAAGCATGGAGCGGGAAGGGAGTTCCACAAGCGAGAAGTGCGACAAAAACCTGTTAGCTGAAATCACGGCTACATCTAGACAGCTCACCTCTAAATTGAGATCTAGACGCCAGTCAAGTAGCACGCTTAGAGTAAAATATTAGATAACATAGCGAAGAGCTCATCCGAACAATTACCATGATAGTATTTATAGAAAAGACACAGAGAGGCTACATAACAGCGGTGGGAAAGTGAGTGCTGCCGAGTCGCCAGATCAGGACCAATAATATTGCAGAGTCTTCTTTGGATTTTATCAAGGAGCTGAAGGTAAATAGCGGGCGCGCCGGACTATATGTGGCAGCAATATTCTCAGCATGAACGAATGGTAGACTTATAGATATGTAAGATAAATTCTGAAGAGAAAAATTGTCTCGCACACAACACAGTGAACCAACTTTCTTAACAGCTGACCTATCAATGAATTCAATATAGTCCTTCCATTTTATGTCAGCTGAGAATGTCAGACCAAGAAGGTGCAATGACTCATTTTCCTGGAGGTTAGCATCAGCCATGCTGATGAAAAAGAAGAAAGATGTCTTTCAGATGATCAATGGAGAGCAGTGTAACGTGCGCAGGCGGCTAGACATAATACATATTGTTCAATAATAAATAAAAACGGGACGTCTTTTTCAGATACGAGTATCCACTTATAGTTAAAAATAATAATTCACCTCTTAGAACAAAATTAAACAGGGCAAATATTATTTATGAATTTAAATGCTCATTAAGGTATTGTATTCCTGATCAATCAAAATTCGTAAATAATTATATAGGCCACACTACAATAAGTCTGAGACGAAGACTCACTCTACACCTTTCTGACCATAGCTCAATTAGGTCTCATTTAAATATTCATGGAGACCTACCGGACACTATTCGTAACATACTTGTTGACAACACAAATATAACTGCATCATCTACATGCAAAAAAGGCTAAAAATAATGGAAGCCTTATTAACAAAAACAAAACAAAAAAACAATACTTAATATTATCAACTATGAACATGGACACAATAACTTGATCGTGTTTTGAAAAATGAAAACATTATATAAATACATACATACATACAACAAACTATTTCTTATTTAACAGTTAAAATATTTCATCCTTGAAAATGACTAAATGTATAGCCGAAAGCGCTCGGATAAAAAGAACATTCGGACAGTTTTTATATAATTTATCATCCGAAAAGAAAAAAAATAATAGATAGCATGAGAAATTGTATAAAAAACTAAATCATCAAAGCACCTTGTCTGACGTATTCAATGAAACGTGCATATATATATATATATATATATATATATATATATATATATATATTGATTCTCTAGAGGCACCAAAGTGGTGTTTCATGGGCAAGATAGCCTAACGGAATCCAACCCTCACCAGGCTTGTTTTGAATTCAGATTTGTTCCTCCTCTTTGACTATTTGCCATACTCGAACTATTTACCCATACCTCAGGTGGGAAAAAGATGGATTCATGCCTTTCCCAAATACAGATATCTGTCGCACGCGTGTATATATTCGTTTAGGCGTATATATATATATATATATATATATATATATATATATATATATATGTGTGTGTGTATGTGTGTGCGTGTGTGTATTTAGGCAGCAATCCTTCTTTCATGCACATTTCATTGAAAACGACAAACAAGGTGCTTTTATTTAGTTTTTTATACAATTTCTCATGCGATCTAATATTTGTTTTTGTTTTTTTGATGATAAATTATATAAAAACTGTCCGAATGTTCTTTTTATCCGAGCGCTTTCGACTATACATTTAGCCATTTTTAAAGATTAAATATTTTAACTGTTAAATAAGAAATATATATGTATTAAGAATATTAGAACCTGACTGAAAACCAGAGATTATAGACCGATTAATCTCACCACCACACTAGTGAATATAATAAACTCGACTGGATTTCGAACTCGGTTTCTTGATTTTTAAATCCGAGCCGCTATCCATTACTCTACATTATATTCAACCACGGGGCATGCCTCCTTGTATTTATTCATTTCTGCGTGTTTGTGTACGTGCACGCGTGTGTGTTTATGCGTGTGTGGTGTTTAGATTAATCTGTCTTTCGGGTTCTACTCTTTGGTTTTCAATCAGATTCTAATTTTCTTAATACGCATCTGTATACGCATGCGCAGATATATACACGCGTGCTACAGATATCTGTGTACGCATGGGCAAGTCCGTATGTGCATCGAATACAAATTTCATGTGAAGGGCTTACTCGGTCGGTTATCAATATTTGATAATAAAATTCACCCCCCCCACCCCCGGCAAACACGAAAGCGTATTTGATTTTTCATAGCAAGAAAATCAGATTCGATCTCCGGATCGTTAATCAAGAACTGATACGCCCTTTGAGAGTAATAAATCACAAGTTCGATTTTGGAACGCAACAATATGACTCGGATGGAATCTTCCGGTGTTTGGTTAATCAAAATCTCTCCACGCGAATATTCTGCATACAGTCCAGACCAGAGTACTGTTTGTCGACGAATAACCCGCCGTCATGGCGGCATTTCTTTTATTGTTTTTATTTTTTTTATTTATTTTTGTGCTTTAAAAGGAAAGCAATGAAATTCGTCTGTTTCCATATACTCACAGAGAAAATCATCGATTTTTTTTCGCGAATCAAGTGTGCTTACCTTGTCGTGTTCAACCGGGGATGCACCGGGTGACCTTGATGAAAAAAAAATGCAGGAAGGAGATCATGAAATCCGACATATCCGCCATTTTGTTTCAGAAAACCTGTTTCCACTTAGTAAAAAATCCTTTACTTGGAAAGGGTCATATTTGATTCTTTTTTTTTTTTCTTTTTTTTCTTTTTTTTGATGGGTTGCAGGAAGCAACGTGTGTCTTTCCCGCTAAATGATTTGTTTATTTGTCACGAAATTAAAATGAAAATATCCTTGAAAAAATAAATATGAAGTAAGGATAAGATAGAAATTAACAGAGATGTTTGATGATTTCTCCTTCAAGCTGTTGCATCTTTGCCATGTTTTTGCCGGAAGGTTAGTGCTTAAGCGAAATTCTTCCGAGAAAAAAAATTGAAACAATTTTATTTTCCTAATTTTCGTTACTCCATTTTCTCTATTTCTTAAAATTTAATTTAAATGCATAATTTAAATATTTTATCTACACCGAAATATA